AATTTTTATCTCCTTTATGCAAATGGCACGGTACCACTCATTCTGTCTAGGAAGACAGCTGTTCGGTGCAAAATTCATGAATCTTCCTGCCTTCAAAACAAAACCTGATTTATAATCCTCCCAAATACTTTAATTTTGCTTGGATTTTTGAGCTCAAAAAATGTTCGACAACATATGAACATAAAGAAAAGAATTTCGAAGAAGGTTTGGTCTTCCTTCACAAAGATTTTTGAGTTAAAAAAAAGAATTTCTTTTGAAACTGAAATACATGTTGTCAAGGCTTAGGATCTGCTCTCGTTTTTATGAAATTTTTTGAGATCATCACCCCACCAATCGCTGGGTTTCTTATAGAAGAAGTTATTCGGTGAATTCCTACATATTTCGTTAACAAAGGCTGCATGATGCTGGGTTGGGAGCCAAAAGGAGAAGTTTAGAACAAGCTCTCAAAAAATGTTTGATAGTACTACAGGATACTGCATCTCTATAAGCGGAACTGATATATTCAAAAATGCTGTTTTCCATGGGTGTATGTCGAGTGGCGCGATTTTGGTTGTCACTAAGGACACATCCGCAGTGGGCTCTATATTATATGGAGTTTTCAATTTGTAATCTATGTTACCTTCCATGATGAAGGACGTACAAGGTGTTTACTTCAATTCAGAATCATAACAAAAAAGAACCATTCAAAGATATGAAGCTAAAGTTAAAGAATTCTAAATAAATGGATCTGGAGAAGCTTTTGCCTGTAGCTTGACCAAAAATCACTCACAAGCTTTCATATTGCCCAATACTGTCATCTGCCAATATATTGTTCGAACTCTTTTCCAGGTTTCTTTTTGAAAAGCTCAAAAGCCTATGAAAATGACTTTTTATTGTGCTATTAGCATCTATATGTAGTGACAGCCGGGAAAAATCGCGCCACTCGACCGCCTCCCGTTTTCCATAGGGCCAACATCATTTCCAGCTTATTCAGGCAATGTCAAAAATTCGGAAAAAAATAATGAATAACTTTATAGAGCAGAAGATGCTTTTCTCTGCCTTCTTCTCCGTTACTTGGACTTTGCTAAGGTAATTGGATGATTCGGCTGCGTATCTATTTTGTCCTTAGATTCAATATATATTCCCTTTTGCACACAAAAAATGAGGCTGCGGACCCCTATTTGACGTAGTTTTTAGGTATCTGTCATTGCACGTTCAATACACACCATCTGCTGCTGTTATGGCTTAGTACAGCTTTATTTAGGATCAAATCATTTCAGTCTGTAATTTTGGTCACTTTTTTGCATCTTGGTTTCAAAATGACGAATTTGACAAAGTTTTTTTTTACCAGGTTCGTCTTTTATTCCAGCGTATTTGGAATAGTAGGTGAATTGCTTTGCTCACATCGTATTGTCGCTTACATTATGGGCACTTTTCTACCCAGCTTTCATGTTCTATAAGGTTGTTTTATTCAACACAGCACGTTATGGTCAAACGTAGGTTTGGTCACCATGCTCGAGTAACCGCAGCGCAATTTCTCAAAAAAAAAAACTTCCAGAAATATGTGCGCCGTAGTTTCTATGCTGCAATTTCCTCGTCTACTTCGCTGTCCAACTCGTCACCTTAAGAGCTAATTATCTGTTATGCGCACTCTTTTCATCTATGGCAGACTTAAATTCAGCCATGGATCTTAGTGAAGTCTGACTTTACAATGCGTCGTTAAATTTTGTACAATATGCTTCTCCTGTAGGTTGTAGCACTCACTCTGCCAATAGATTTCGTTATAGTCTTTTATAATTTTGTATCTGCTGAATCTGTCTTCAGGTGTATTTGAGTATGAGAGAGTATTAAATATCTTTATAGCATAAAGATTGCCTGTACGACAAGAATTCTCATTCTCTCAACCCATCTCAAATTCAGTTGTGAAGGCGCACTGACAAAATTTT